CAAAAATCACCATTTTTTTGATAACTCAGCCATTTCTCGACGGATCCTTCTCATCTTCGAACTCGACCGAGATATTCTAAAGACTGAACTGTGTAGAAAATTTCATCACGATCCGACTCTCCTTTCGAAAGTTATCGGATAAACGGCCGGCCGGCCGGACGGACGGCCGGACGGCCGGACACACTGACCGATTTTAGTAGTGTACTCACTTTTTGAGTACACAAACAAGAACGATATAAAAAACGTTACGATGCAAATCGTTCTGATCCATCATATAATGTTGGTGATCTCGTTCTCGTCAAGACACTCCGCATGTATTCAAAATTTAATATTCGTTATGAAGGTCCATTTAGAATTACAAAACAACTTTCACCAAAGACATTTATCGTCCAACACATCAAGAGACCAACATTACATCATCAAGTTACAACTGATGTGCTACTTCCAATATTTGAACGCATTCATTAAATTCAGGACCTCTTTTACAGAGATCCGATACACAAATAATATGTCGAATTTTATGGATTAATTACTTATTATTAGAATAACTGGATTAATATGATTTAGCATAGCAAGATCGGGGAGTGTGAATTTCCCCCATTCACTGGTTTTGAAGGGTTATCATATTAGATTTGGAAGATTATCTTTTATAATTAATTATTTCATTACACGAAATACGATTCATGGATATGTTAATATTCATTTATTTATTCTTTAAAAATTCCCATCTGATCAATGAGAATTAGAACATAAAAAACTATTTCGTAGCCCACCTTTATTGACATACGAATTAATGAATGATAAACGAACGATAAATTATGTTATCTTGAAAAAAAAAAAAAAAAAGAAGAAAAATTTTTTTTTATTTTTCCTTTGGCGCTCAAATAGCAATTGGTAGAGTCCTATTCGCAAAAACATCGATTATTTTAACCAATCAGAAATTTCCCATCTTCAGAATCGATATCTATAATTATATAATTTCTTCATTGTAGTGATGCTGTCTAACGAAGAATATCAAGATACAAAACGTCAATTAAATAATATAACATCAACTGGAAAATCACGACAAAAAATTAGAACAACATTGTTGGAAAAATTAAAAGAACATGAATATGCTACAAAATTTATTCCATTTGAACCATTACCCCACGCACAATTGTTTATTAATCGAACAACAACCGAACCCATACTTCAACAAATTATTAAAGCTGTAACAACATCTACTGAATTTACAATTGATACCGAATCTCTGTACATATGTGCATGAGTCAGAACGAAAACATAAGATTGTTGAACGAGAGAGAGATAGAGAGAACGATAGATTATTACTATTTTGGTTAGGACATCTATTTCAAAACTTTTCCTGGGGGCTTCACCATACCCTTTCGAGAAAATTTATGACTCTTGTTCAGCTTTTTTGCTCTTTCTAATGATGTAATTTTTATCAATTCTACACGAGATCAAAAATTTCGGACCAGTTGACATGTATACAAATTATTTTATTTTTTAAAAGAATTGTCGAAAACTTTGAAAGAGAACATAATGAATTATCAAACTGTACGCATTTAAAGAAAATAGTTGAGAAGCATTATTTCGAAGTGTTGTAGTCAAAGTAGATGTTGATATAGTTGATGTAGTTATAATAGTTGTCGATGTACTTGTAGTAGTTGATATGAAAGAACTACATTGGTCAATTTCAATATCATCGAAAGCAATAGCTGTTAATGTTGGTTCGAGTCGATAAACATCAAAATAGAATGTTATTGCACTAGCAACTTTGCTTAAAGGTACAAGAGCTATCTGCCATCCTCGACTATCATCTAATGATCGATACCATAATCCTGTACTAGAACATCCATTACTGGATAGACGAATTACTGTTGTATTCTTATTAACTAGTTTTGATTTGACATAATAAGCAAATTTAATACACATACCAGTATTTTGCTCAATTGTTTTTGACAGATATACACGACCTCTATTGCTTGTATTGACTAGTAAATCTTGATTCCAGTAAAGAAAACCACCATATGCTGAATTAATTGTATGATCTCGAACTGGACCAAGTTCTTGATAAGGCATTGTATCACCAGTAAATATCGTAAAATTAAATGTAGAGTTCTTTTCATCGTTAATCATATCACACATTGTCAAGTTATCAAAATTGCACGAGAAAGAAATAAGAGAATTGTATGAAACAGATGAAGGAGGATAGTCACATGAAGTGATATCAATATTATCGAGAGCAAATGAGTATGTAAGAGAAGTATCAGTATCCACACGAAAAAGAAGTGAATAATTACCAACTGGTAAATTAATAATACCCCAAGCCCTAATATAGAAAAGAATCATATCAGTTAATAATTTTATTTCTAAGATATGTAGCACATTGGAGGCTCTTTCGTTTCCATCGTTTTAGCAAAGTAAACAAATGCAAGAGAGTCCAGGTCTCAGTTTTGGGTTTTTGTCAGAAATGAATTACAAAATAATTCAAAATTTCTATATGTTAACATTGTATCCATTTATACGATTTGAATAAGTCTATAAAGGTGTATTAGGATCTATCAAAATCTAACACGGGCTTGCTTTGTTTGTGGTTTTCGCCCTTATCTTCAACAAAATCATATAGAACATCATATTCCATGATAGACTCTGATAGACTTTGGTTGCTTCCACAGAAACTATTGAAACAAATAGATATAAACTGAATTACTTTGTTATTCTATTCCGTCATCTAGTGGCAGATTTAGTATTAACTATTATTTTCTAAAGATGCAAGAATGAGCGAATCAAAAACTCTCCTAAGTCATACTGGTAAATTCTAATGGTTTTTATACTAAGCATGAAAATAAAATATCTGTTTTGGCAGCGTGAACTTACCATCGACCGCCCAATCTACAAGAAAGAAGTTTAAATTACAATGATTTTTTCAAGATCACTTACATGTAATAACTTGATCTTTCTCCAGGCCATAACATTTGAATAACTTTAGATTCATCTGAGGCCCATGAATAAATTTTCAAGTAACTTCCACCCTTTGATGGATAAGCACAATATTGAAAATTCAAACAATAAGATTCTTGAGATGTGACTTGTAATTGTTTTTGTAAATGTAGATAACCAACTTTACCAATATCGACTATTTTGAAAACCGGCACAAATGCATAATGTCCTGATTTGTTTCCAAATGTATAATCAGTAGATGGTGCAAATAATTCAATTCCACAAGCGTCAGTTGCATTTGATATTAACCATATATATGGATATGTAGGTAATGAAACAAAATTCTCTGAACAAGATGACTCGAAGTCACAAGTAAATAAAACTTTAGAAGGTGAAGGTAGTGAACCATCACAATAATCTGCAGAAATATCATCAAATGGTAAGTGTTTCTGTGTTAAATTTGTTTGAATAGATATTTTCATTTTTTCATTTGATAATTTGACATCGATTAATGTCCAATCAACAGTTGAAACATTTTTATCTAAAACTGAAGAGTGTGCGTATCAGTTCTACTTCATCACCTTGTACAGCTTGAACACTAAATAGAAAATTTATCTGAGTAGAATAATACCACATGCGGAAACATAACGGTCGATCAGTCGAAGGTTGTAACCAATTCTGGGTTCTAATTTCGAACCCTCTTGTACCAGAGCTTGGATTGTAGAAAACATAATGGCCAGCTTTTATATTTAAAGTATGATCATGATCGATGGGTTGAGGATGATAACCGTCGGTTATAGCCCAATAACCATACAAAGCAAAATCATTACAATTTGTTTCAAAATCACAATTAAGAATAGTGACTTGACTCAAAAATGTTTGATAAAGAAGAATACATAGAAAAAGTGACATTTTGATGAATGAAGAAAATTGGATAATTGTTATACTTCGATACTAATTATATATGAGGTTATTCAAGTAATGACGTCTATGTTGTGCAATAACAGACATATCACGTCAGATATGATAAAAATGATATAAAGATAACAATAACACTTCTGCATGTGACGCATTTCACAATGACAGTGGAAAAAATGATGTATCATTCTAAATATACAAGAAAGAATAGACATAGAACAATAAAAGTTAAAATGAGATTCTAATAATCATTTTCGCAATTTTTTCTCTTTATAAATATCTTCGATTGAATTAGAAAATCTTTACCGTATATATCGATTTTGTATTTTAACATCTTCCATCTATCTTTCATATGGTTCATATCTTCTTCTACCAACTTGTATATCTTGTGTATCATTATTTTTTATTAAACAACTTCATATGGTTTTATTTCAGTTCCATCAAGAGGGTGATACTAGCTACCATGACTGTTGTTCCAGCCTTGTTGAAGGATTTCATCGGATGGCTCAGTTGAGAAA